CGTGTCGTTCTTACACGCTGCACTGTCATGGTTCGAATCCCGCTTGGGAGGCCACTCTGGATGAGAACACCTTTAGGCAAAGTAAGGCAATGTGAAATTCAATGGAAACGTCAACCCCACTCACATCATTGGGGTAAAAATCAACTACCAGTTCATCATCACCTTAAACGAAATAGGGTGAACTCACAACACAAGTCATATATTTTAGGATTATAATTACTGTCATCAATGAGTATTAGGAGTATCAGGCCTGCTGATATGAGCCATTCGGCTAAAATATTTATTACGAAAAACGAATTATCCTCTAGCGTTAGTTATTACTAACATCTCTTTTATGAGGAGCCCGTTTGCGGTCGGTGACTATTTCGCCAAATATGGTAAAGGTGAGACTTTTTCTCATGATCCCATCTTGCCTTTATGCTTTCTTACTAAGAAGATAGGTGAAGTAGAATAAAATGGGGGCAAAAGCCGTTTTCAAAGGAATTCGGACACTCTCTTCGGTCATTGCTTCTTTTACAGCAGATCCGGCTGCTACAATATTGCGTGCTCATGTGACAGACCTTCTGTTGGTGGGACTTGCTGATTGTGTTACTTCTGCCAGGAAACTTCTGATGAGAGAGGCTATAAAAATGTGTAGATTAGGGAATACATTAAATGTTAGGACTGGCGGTATAAATTTTAATAACAACTATTTATAAGATGTATTCACCCAATTTCGTTTAAGGTGATGAATGACTGGTAAAAGTAGAATTTTCCCACAAATGATATGAGTTGAACTGACGTTTCCATTGAATTTTTACATAGCTTTGCTTTCCCAAAAGTTGTTCTCATCCAGCGTAGACTGCAGTTTCGACCTCACATTGGTCTTATCAACACCCTCAGCGGAAGTCGAACCGCGACAATGCAGACGTTAGCTTGACACGCTAACCACTCGGCTACACTGCCACGATTGAGAGATTGAAGGAAGGAGGATGCTGGGCCGCTGATCAAAAAGAAGACTACTCGACATGTCAGCTCAGTGTTGGCGTACCTTACATTCAGTTTGATGATACGAATGGGTGTGATTCGTAAGTTGGCCTCCCTGTAAGTCGAAGGGGAGTTGCACTGACGCTGTGACTGTAGATTTGTGTGAATAAGACCTCGGCTCACCGTTCCACGACCTCGATGCATTTTTGCTGATCCTTCGTTTGGCATGTGAAGGACATCATTAAAGGGTGACACCATGCCTTATACTTTTTCCCCAAAATACTAAGCCTCCATAGGTTTGTGGGTCCAAAAATTGGATTTGGCCGAACACATGGCTCGCACAGGACACCAGATAGACTGGCTTAATATCAAACGCTTAGCTGGAAATAGATACCATACGAGTAAGGGGAAAATTAGAGAATTTTCATACACCAAATAGAAAGAAGTAGTGTAGGAAATCAAACGAAAACGGCTTACGGCTGTTGGATAGGATTAAAGAGAGAGATGGAGTGAACGAAAAGTACCGCCGAGCAAGAGAAGGTTTGATTAGCCGTGAATCTGCTTTCCATTTTCACACCCCACGCGTCTCAGAGCATTTCATGCACGCAGCACATGTGCAAGAGAATGCAATCACATGCTGCAACATTGCAGAATCAAAAATAAAAGCGATCTTAGTTAAGATGCAGTTGCTCGGCCACAATTGCATCCGATTCACACGCCAGCTGCAGCCATTTCACTTTTCGACAAGCACGTAGGAAAAGGAAAGGATATCAAACTAAATCATGAGATATTTCATGATGTGGACAAAGTTAGGCCATACGAAGTAGCTAGGATTGCAGCCAACCACCTCTCTTATCTTCGTATTTGGGTGAATTATCGTAACATGATGGACTAAAGCCAGTGCCGCGTGATGGTCAACCGAGGACCTTTTCGCACAAATCTACAATCACAGCGCCAAGGCGACAAACCTTCCGTTTCCGGTGAGGCTAACTTACGGACCCCTTCCAGTGGCCTCTTTAAATGAAATTAAGGTTAGTCCATTTTTTAACATATGTCAGTTCTGGGTTTATTCGGACCTCATTCGCATTCGCCCAACTGTTCTACAGAGCTTATCAACTCAACAGGATGTACGAGATTACGCAATCCCATTCATGCTTTTCAGTGGATCATTAAACCTTAATGACCCTAGACTGTCGAGTTAGGACTGGTTTTTTTCGTTGCCTGACTTACACGCATTAAGGCTTTCCTCTCGTCATCTTCATGAGAGTTACTTTCGAGCTCATGTAATTTCGGTCATGTTTTTCCCTGGGTCATGAAACCTTGATGACCTGATCCTGTCTCTGGGCTTTTTTGTAATTACCCTGAGTTATGACTTCCACATGTGCACACACACTCAACCATAATTATTCTAATTGTTATGAATGGGAACTAACCAAATAGCTCTATTACAATATATATCTATATATTCTTGTTTTTTGTTTAGAGAATATATAGAATGTAAGGTAAATTCAGGCAGAAGTTGCGACTTTGTGTAAACTTGAAGCTTTTGTAAGAATTAGTTCCAACTCAGATGATGTCTGCAAACCCGCAAGACTGCCGAAAAGTCAGTATGTTTTTACGCGCAACGAAAGAGGATGCCTCGTGAAATGTATCAACCTATAGCCAGGCAACCATATAACAACAAGAATCAGTAATCATCTCTTGATCAGATCGACCCACGTATCTCTTCATCATGCACTTTCATACGAAATGAAAGTCTCCCCAACAATGTTATCTCATGAGATTAGTAAAAATCTAGTTACCCTTTATATTTTCTGATGAAGACTAGCTGGGCTTGTCTGTCATATTACTTGACAGATATTGCAGAGGCCGTATCCAATTCTTACAAAAATGTCAAGCTATCACTAATTTAAGAAGAACAACTGGCTTCTCCTTACATGCAATATACACTCAAAACGGTAAAAAATATTACTGAATAGAAATACAAAATATTTAATCGGTTCGTTCTCATGCTAATCTAATTGCTCGTATTTACGAGTGTTTGTGCACGTGTGTGAGTGAATGCTTGTGACGTCTCAGAGTATTTTATGGTGTATATGTGAAGAAAAAATGGTTTACAATAAAGACCTTTACATACCATTAGTATGGATAGTTTCTTTTTGCGTGAAGTACATATTAAAGATATTCTTTGGTTGATCTCAACGGAAGAAGACGGTCGATGCCCATTGTTGTGCAGCAATTTGTCTTTAGTACAACTTTCAGGTTGTGGCAGTCCACGAAGCACCCTTCCTCGTTTCCGGTGAGAACAGGCTAAGGTAGAACCCAATCTTGCAAGTCCCATGTTAACGCTATGTCAAAAAGGCTGATCGTTTCAATCTTACATGCTATATATATTCATATGAACTTCAGGCTATTTCGCAATTACTTTGAGTTATGCTCGGTAGTAGTACAGACTTGAACATGTGCACACATAGACAGACACACTCGAATTTAAAACAACTAGCCAGACCATCCTAGCTACATCTATATCCATATATTTTTTCGTTGAGTATATATAGCTTGTATGATAGAGCTAGTCAGTCTTCTTGAATTTGTGCCAACTTGTGACTCTTATGAAGTAATTCAAGTGGTGAGCACAGGCTTAGGCCATTTTCACCCGAAACGAGGGAGGCTGTCTTGCGAACTGCTTCAACCTGAGTGCCCTATTGAATACAAACGGCTGCATAACAATGAGATTCAATCGTCGTCTCTCGATTCAATCGACCTAGTAATCTCTTCATCATACACTCTTATACGAAATGAGAGCCTCCACGACAAATTTTGTGGTGATTACTCGAAACCCAGTTAACCTTTATGTATATGACTATAACACTTGTATGATATGGGAACCTGTGTCACATGAAGAGCCTAGCCTTGGTACATACTTGCCGAAATCTGTTGACAAACGGAGCTGCTGCACTCAGGGCAGTCAGGCTGTCAGCAAATTTTTCATATTATTTTGGCCACTTACATTTGGCGTGAAGATATCCGATGACAAGAGTAGTAAAACGACCTCACCAGAAAATGACACCTGGTTCTTATTGTTCTATGGTCGTTTGATAAGGTGACGTCATACGAAATGAAAGTCTCCCCAACGATGTTGTCTCGGGAGATCCATCGAAGCCCATATATCGAATTTTACGTTATCCCCGAGACGTCCTCCCTCTCTTCAGGTGCATCTTCTGTTCTCTTCTGGTGAGGTTTACCTATAAATATCTTATTCCAATACAGTCACAAGAAAGTGAATGCCACCATATCAATAGTATCCTAGAGGATTTAGCAAAGCCCAGTTACACTTTCTCCCGAGAACCCACACGCAGACATAACGCATGTTTCACCTGTTCTATATTGAGCATATTTAAGGTCTCTTCCATCTCACTTGCATATACGAGTTGAAAATGGAGGAGTTGTCTACATATTAAGAAACTCCTCGAGCCCAAACCAGATTTCATCCTTAAACAATCTATTTCTTGTCTGGCTTGTATAGCTTAATAAGGCACCCAGAATAAATGGAAGAGCTATGCAAATCCATCTGTATACCCAGCATGGTCGTGCCGTGTATTAAATTGGCCCATTTCTATTCCAACTGACTTTCTGTGTGATGAAATTTTAGACAAACTTTGCATTCTTAATTTACTCGGAGAAGGACATATAAAGTCAAACCATAGACAAAAACAGATAGTTAAAGAAGAAAAATAAACTCTGAACATATCAATTCGACGACTCAAAAGTTGCTTCTAAAATAGGCCTCAGCAATTTTTTGTGAAAAAGAGAGAAAAGAAGGAAGCATCATCTGCTCTCACTCCTCGAATATGGCGTAATCGGGGACGGGAATTGAAGGCTCTTAAGGCAGACAGTGCTTTTGATGTTTAGCAGCGACCAATTGACAGGCGGGGTAGGAGAATGGGGGGATAGGAATGTAAATCAGGAACCCTACAAGTGTCACTTGGTACCGGTGGTGGAGATGATTATGCGAAATTGGAGGAAATGAGAGCACATAATTGTGTGAATAAGTAGATGGGCCATATGAAGTATGGTTTTCAAGAAGCAAATGCAGCATTAGAAAGTAGAACAATAAATAGGGGCGAGGAGTAATGCCACGACGGTTGAACAGAAAATTGGTCAAAGAGATTGCTTCCACTTGTCAAGTTAATAAGTTGTAATACTATGCCGATGATGGCGCCTCTCACCGGCGATGCAGGCGAAACGTTTGGAAGTGTACCAAGTCACTCTTCCGAAGCCGGAAATCACGAAATCTATGGCTGATACACAGGACTAGGTACTTTCCCCAAGGTCTTCCTGACACTCCGACGGAGCTGCGAAAATAAGGTCGAACCAACGCTATAAAGCTGAAATAGACTGC